GTTTATATATATATATATATATATATATATATATATATATTCATATATTCATATATTCATTTGAGGGATATCTTCTGATACATTTGAAATGATCGGTCAGTTTTTTTATATCTGAATAATATAAGATTGTGTTAATTATTATTTGTTTGAAACGTAACTAGGTAATCTTCTTCTTTACATTATTATTTTTTAAATCATCTTCTGAACATTATTCTAACTAAATATTAACTTGTATAACACGAACATCATAATGACTAGATTATGAATAATCAACTATGGTAACTGGTCGGTTAAAGGTCTTAACATTTAAGGCAAATGAACACATTATATTGGGAGGTTATTTTATACATTCAAAGTTTCCACAGGCTTAGCACACATTTTAGCAAAAAACTTCCATAAAACATTTCTCATCAATATATTAAAAATTAATTGTATGAATCTAACAAAATATTCTCGCGAAAAGATATTAGACCACGATTTATAAATCATGTGTTCATTAATGTTGTCATCAAAACCCCATCGATCACATTTTTTCTTATTCAAATAATGAAAAAAATTAGACATAGCTAGAGGCAACACACTTTTACTATTAATTCCATCTTCAAGATAACTTTTTTTTTGAGAAACAAGATAGCTAGTTTTCTCATAAAAATGTGTAGTCAGTATCACTTAATTTATCCGTCCCTAATCAGACCACTACTATGGGTGTGTACTACTAATAGACTCGTTGCAACTTCTGGTGTCATACAAGGAGGAAATTCCTTGTAATGTGTCAGCAACACTTCAAGACTTCAAATGTATAAACCCGCAAAAAACCGTCAACAATTTTAAAATCTTTAAGCCAAGATCTCGACAATAACTGCTACAACGCATTTTGTGTTACAAAAAAAAAAAAAAAAAAAACTGCTACAACGCATTATTATGTCTAATTGTCTATGGTATGCACTAGAACAATAAAATTAAAAGGGCTCATTTTAAGCAAAAAGAAAAATTAAACTAAAAAAGCGAATACCTACAATAAAACTAATTATTAAAATTAATAGTATTTATTTAACTGGAGGGCCGAAAGTGAGTAAAATATGGGCTGTACATCAAAAAGGAAAAATAAATAAATAAATAAAATTCCCCAAAAAGGAGTACAAGAAAAAGAATATCGGTATATAATCTGACCATGGAACAAATTGGGGAAATAAATATATATAATTTCCAACGTGAATTAAATAATAAAAAAGATTACGATACGACCATACATATTCGAGCAGAGTGCTTCGCCACCATAATAAATAATACACATGCACACACGTGTATATATAATATAAAATGTTCACAAAGAAGAACAGAGAAGAAACAAAAATATAACTAAAATAGTGTTTGGTTTAAATCATCAGAGAAAATTCAGGACGGTCACGACGTTTCTCTTCTTCTTCATCCTCCTCTACCTCGTGTTTCCCTCTCTCCCTCTCTCTTGATTTTTACCGCCGGAGAGTTTTTGTTTTTTCTTTTCTGTAAATATATTCCCCGGCGGTTTGAAACAAAAAAAAAAAAAAAACAATGAAGGGGAGAATATCAAAGATAGGAAGCTATGCAATATCTTCCTCCATTAAAGACCATCACCAGCAACCTTGTATCTCATGCACTACTTTCAACATCCTCGCTCCCATCTACAAACGTCTCTCTCCAAAGGTACTCTTCCTTCTTCCTCTTCAAAGCCAACGCTTCCTTCTTCTCCTCTGTTTTTATTGTTTTGGATGATGATGAAATGCAGGATCAAAGCATCCGTGAAAGCGATAATAAAGCGTATTGGATGGGGAGGAACCATAGAATCATCGACTGGTTATTGTACGAGAGGTCTTCCATTATCTGTTTGCAGGTTGTTCTCCTCCCATGTTCTTGCGTTTGAATATGTTTTCTTGATTCTGTGTTGATGTTTTGAGGTTTATAGGAGTTTTGGGTAGGCAACGAAGAGCTTGTTCGTTTATACGAGAAGAGACTTGGAGACGCTGGTTATCTTTGTTACAAACTTGGCCGTACCAACAATCGTGGTGACGGTAATTAAAGAGACTTTCCTTTCTCTCTCATTCTTGTTGCCTCTCTGTTCATGGATGTGAATGAAAAGATGTTTCTTGATGATGACTAGGTTTGCTTACGGCTGTTCATAAGGACTACTTTAGAGTTGTGAACTCTAGAGATTTGCTTTTCAACGATTGTGGTGACAGAGTTGCTCAGCTTCTACATGTAGAATTAGTCCCTCCTTACTCTCAGTATGAGTCTCATCAACAAGTTTTGATTGTCAACACTCATTTACTCTTTCCTCATGATTCAACACTCTCTATAGTAAGATTGCAGCAGGTAGACATACCAAAACTCCACTATCATTGACTGTTGATGATAATATGCATTTTTCATTCTAAACTCAAAAGAGTTTTTGCATTGTGACAGGTATATAAGATTCTTCAGTATGTAGAATCTTACCAGAAAGAAGTTAATCTAAGTCCAATGCCTATTATGCTTTGCGGGTAACTACTAGATTTCTTACATTTTTCATGTGTTACATGTAAAAGAGGAGTAGTGAAACTTGTGTTTATTTTGTGGGGCAGAGATTGGAACGGAAGCAAGCGTGGACATGTCTACAAGTTCCTCCGCTCACAGGGTTTTGTGTCTTCTTACGACACTGCTCACCGTTACACTGATTCTGATGCTCATAAGGTCACTACTTTTGGGTATGCTGTATATTCTTTTGATGATACAAGTTGGTGATCCTGATTCTTATAAAAATCTCTTGTTATCTTTTTTGGTTTTGCAGTGGGTAAGCCACAGGAATCACCGCGGTAACATATGCGCTGTCGATTTCATATGGCTTCTGAATCCAAATCGTTACAGAAAGCTTCTAAAAACAAGTTGGAGTGAGGCTGTGTTTGGCATGTTCAGGGTAAGACTCTCCTCAATGTTTCTGATTTTGAAAACGGGTTTAACATGATTGTTTTCTAGCTTTTCTGTGTAACATTTGAGCATTTTGATTTTTGTAGTATCTACTGAGAAGAGCTTCATTAACAGCTGAAGATGCTTTTGCCTTTCTGAAAACTGATAACGATGGTGACTACATTACATTCATGGGCTTCTGTGAGACTCTTCGACAGGTATATACAAAAACCTGTAACACATTTTAATCAGTCCTGTGACTGTCTTATTCAGATGATTCTTTACATGAGTATGCTCTTTCTCTATACAGCTCAATCTAACCGGTCATTGCAATGGGCTCACCACAAAGGAGATCAAAGATCTGTGGACTCAAGCTGACATTGATGGAAATGGTCTTGTAGATTACAAGGAGTTTCAGGTAATCTTATGAGACTCTCCCTCTAAAACATGTTAATGATAACTAGGAAGCTATTTTCTAGTACTGTACAATACCTAGAGACTTGTTAATGCCATAGCTTAAAACCCTTGTTCTTGCTCTTGAAACACACACTCACACATGTTGCTCACTTGCTAATGTAACTTATTGCAGCAAAGAATATGGAACCAAACTTGGTCAGAACAGAGAGATGCAGATGATGGAGAAGCAAAAGGTAACAAAGAACAAACCGTTGGCTTCAGCGTCAAGAACGCAGTCTTGTTTCCACCTGAAGTGGAGAAAGGAAAATGGCCAGAAAATTACTCTCTCTCGGATCACGCAAGGCTAACCGTTGTATTCTCTCCCATAAGAATGCCTTGCTCTCAATTGGTTTCATGACAAAAGCACTTAACAACAAAACCTTTTTAGCTTCTCCCATTTAAAGAGACCTTTGAGTTCTAATGTATACCTTAGAGAGCAGAATCAAAAAAAAAGAAAAAAAAAAGAAAGGAAAACACACAATGGTCTTCTACATTATACACTGTACAGACTTGTAAACAATAATTTGGAATCTTTCATGTAAAAAAATGTTGTAGTAGAGAGATTTAAGAAGCAGCTTTGCGACTCCTTTTTCCTTTTTCCTTTTCAGATTTAATTTTAAAACATTCGTTTATAGAGATTGTTAGCATAAGCAATTCTGATTAATGCACATTTTGACTGATCGAGAGAGGTGTAAGAAATTCATATATTCAAAATTATAAAGTTGAATAGTGTATTTACTTACACAGACTATATATTTATTAATATTATAATAAAAACAGAGGGAGTAATTAAATAAATTTGTTTCTAAAATTAAATTCTACTAGTTTGTACACAATTTAGCTTGATCTTCCGTAACTAACCGGGCCACGAACATCGTCCCATTTTAACATGTCGTCTCCAAGGTTAATTAGATGAGAGCCTCTTAACTTCTTCTTCCACGAAATTCTCCATTTGTTTGGTCGAAGATTTCAGTACGCGATCGAATTGGATTTTTCGTTTTTTTTTAACCACTTCAATGATTAGCTTTTATCTGTATTGATCAGAGGGGAAGAGCGAACAATAAGTGAACTGTGACAACCCATCCTATGGCTCACAAGTGCTGCAGCGCACCGACCCTAATTCCTCACCTATTGAGTCCTTAACTCTTCCAAGTAAGTTATTGATGTGTTTGACGTTATTCGAACCCAAGACCTCCAACTTTTAACAACTGTCCACAAGATAAGTTGGTTATCTTGTGGAGAGTTGTTAAAAGGTGGAGGTCTTGGGTTCGAGTTACGCCAAGAGCATCGACTTTTTTTTTGTGACAACTCATCATGTGGTTCACAAGCGCTGTAGCACACCGACCCTAACCTCTCACATGCCGAGTCCTCAGCCAGTTCAATTGGTGACAACTTATCTTGAGGAGAGTTGTTAAAGGGTGGAAGTATTGGGTTCGAATAACGCCAAGCGCATCAATAACCTACCTGGGAGAATTGAGGGCTCGGCAGGTGAGGGGTTAGGGTCGGTGCGCTGCATCGCTTGTAAGCCACATGATGGGTTGTCACACGAACATTGTGTGTGTTTACTGTTTGCTCTCTAAAAAGTTATTGAGTTTTACTCTAAAAAGAGAAGAAAAGGAATCTTCATGTATCATGTTAAGGTCACTTCAAAAGGTGTGTATGAGTGAGAGTAATATGTGTTTTTTTTTGGGGAGGGGGTCAATTAGTTATGCAAGTTATTGAGTAGCTTTATGGTTCTCGATTATATGTTTGTAGAGGTGATCCTGAGCATAGTGCCTATATATGGTCTCCGTGGTTAATATGTATAGAAAATTAGGCTCTCAAATGATTCATTTAGTAATTGTTTCAGGCCCCATGAATTTCAAGGCCGTCTGGTCTCAAAAGAAAATCATCTTTCGTATGATATGATTACTTCTCGAAACTTAAAATTATTCTGGTATAATATTCCTCAGGTGAAGGAAGAGATGAAGCCCATGTTTTCAGAAGTAGAAATGTCTCGTGACGTGGTTATACTTGCCATACACCAACAGATTTTAGCCAGACTACTCCAAGATCTGCTACACGAGAAAGCATGCAAGGAATCAAGCACACGTCCTCACGTTCCCTGTTTCCTTCACATGCCGCACATTCTTGCCTGCACCAGGTGATATCTTGGTAGGGACTATCGAAACTCATGAGTATAAAAGTCTTGCAGCTGAAGTTATGATAAGATGTGGTCCACTTATGTTTGAGGTGAAAATGGTTCGAACAGTATAAAGAGAGATGAGGGCGAACAAAGACGTTTTATTAGATCTGAATAATGAGTTACAAAGAGGAGAGTAAAGAGGCGGACTAGCCGGAAGTATAAGATGGTGAGTAAACGGGAAGGTGACTGAATAAGAGGGTGACTAAACGAGACGGTGACTAAACAGGGAGGTGAGTAAAACCTAGATCTAACCACCTAATCGCTAAGAAACCCTAGATCTAGCCGCCAAGTGAGTATGTCGAATTTCGGATCCCCCTTTCCCTTTGCTGCCTCTCTCCTTTTATAGATCCAATCTTCGTGTTCGCCCTAGCTTACCCGAGCCTTGTTGGGCCTTATTATTGCTAGGCCCGTTTAGTAGTCCGGGTAAACCGTACTTCTGCCGACTCTTCTAGAACACGTTAGTCGCGCTACTAAACGCGTCTCATACCGAGTCGTTTTGGTGTTACCCGGTGGGCCGAGTATATTGTCATGCTGGGCTAAGTTTCCTCATTTGATGGGCCTTGTGGAGGGGTATAATCCATCTCCTACAATAAGTCCCCCCAGTTCACTTATGAGTCCGTAGGACTCTAAGTGAATTTGTGGATCAGGTTTGATCAAATGGGGAAACTTGCAAGAATGCACGTTTAGGCGACACCTCTGACGTGTCTAGTCTCGCGGCTAGAACGTCGATCACAAGCGCGTTTAGGCGGCACCTCGAACATGTTTAGTCTCGCGACTAGAACGTCGATCATGAGCATGTTTAGGCGACACCTCAAGCATGTCTAGTCTCGCGGCTAGAACGTCAATCATGAGCATGTTTAGGCGACACCTTGGACGTGTCTAGTCTCGCGGCTAGAACGTCTATCGCGAGCACGTTTAGGCGACACCTCGGGCAGGTCTAGTCTCGCGACTAGAACGTCGATCATGAGCACGTTTAGGCGACTCCTCGGGCCTGTCTGGTCTCGCGGGTAGAACGTCGATTATGAGCACGTTTAGGCGACACCTCGAGCAGGTCTAGTCTCGCGACTAGGATGTCCTCCATTGTCGCGTAAATGCACCAGTTTGGGCCCGTCTAGTAGCACGACTGAATTGGTGCCTGTGAGAGCGAGTTTAGGCGACACCTCGGACGTATTTAGTCTCGCGACTAGAACGTTGGTCGCGAGCACATCTAGGCGACACCTCGGGCGTGTCTAGTCTCGCGACTAGAATGTCGACCAAGAGCACACTTAGGCGACATCTTGAGCATGTCTAGTCTCGCGACTAGGAGGTCTTATATTGTCGCGTAAAGGCGTCATCTTGAACTTATTTAGTAGCATGACTGAGTTGATGCCTGTGAGAGTGTGTTTAGGCGACACCTTGAGCGCATCTAGTCTCGCGACTAGTGTGTCTCCGATTGTCTCATAAAGACGTCGCATCTCAATTTGTCTAGCAAATTAACTAAGTCATTACTCGTGAAGTAATACTTAGTTTGAGTAGATCATCCGAGTTGAGATGCACATTCAGCTTCTAACCGTCTTCTGGTTCAATCTCAGTCGCTGCTCGGTTTAGCTCCGGTTTAATCTCGGTTGGAGTAAACCGGTTTTAAGGGCTTAACCAAACTGAATTAGGTTAAGGGTTAATCGATCTTGGATAATCTTCTGGGTTTCTGCAGTTAATGGGCTTATTTAGGCCCGTTTAAATGCATTAATTGTACTTAGAGAATCGTGCCTCAGGACTTTGCTATAAATAGGTAGATTCTCTCCCTCTTTCATTATTCTTCTCTGCAAACTCAGGTACTTTCTTCTCTCCCTTCTCTCTACTTTTAGCTTTCTCTCTCTAAGTATTCTGCTTCGGGTTATGGCTTCGTCGGGGCGATTATCNTCGGGGCGATTATCTCGTGAGGAAAAAGGCAAAGGGATCGCCTGCGCCACCGGTCAAGCCGATGATGTTACGGCGAACGGAAGTCCAATAGAAGACTTCAGTTTGATTCATCGCGACGCTTTGCGTAGGGAGAGGCTCGAGCCGCACAGAGACTCGGCCACGGATTTAGCGAGTGAGGAGAATGATTCAGCCGCTGAAGAAGAAGGGGATTCTAGTCGCGCGGCTAGCGGGTCTGAGCGAGAGGAGGGCGATTTATCCGGCGAAAAAGAGAGTGATGAGGGAGATTCTAGTCGCTCGGGTAACGAGTCCGATCAGGAGGGTGCCGAAAATTCAAGCTCCGATGAGGATGGTGAAGATACGGCGTCGCCGGATCAGAGCCCTCGAACTTTATGGTTAAGGCATCGAATCGTCAGATTCGATTTGATCGAATGCAAGCCGACCGTTCTTCGTCTCGATGGCACCTTCGAGGAGCTAAATGCTCTTCCTCCGGAGTCGGCGCGGGATCCTTGGGCAGAAGGCCAGCGTTGGGAGAACGTCTTCGGAACTCGATCTAATCACTCAACCGTAAGAAGTATTCTGCAGTCTTGCAGAGGAGCCGGCGTGACTTACGCGATTCCTACCCAGGAGCAGAGGCCTTGGTCGCCTCCAACCGGCTTCCAGTGTATCTATGAGTCGTACTTCGAGGACGACTCGAAGCTTTGGTTTCCAATTCCGCGTTTGATCTCGGCATATGCGAGGAGGCGGGGAGTAGCAATCAGCCAGCTGAAGATAGGCTCGATTCGGAACGCTGTTATGTTGATGGTGTTGGCTGCGGAGATAGATGTTCCCATGAGCGTGAGAGTGTTCGAAGAGTAGACTTCTACGAAGGCGGAGAGGGGAGGTTTGTTCTCCGTTAAGATGCGCCCAAGTTATAACGTATTGACCGGCCAGCCTCGCAAGACGCCGAACTGGCAGCGTTCGTACTTCTATGTCAAAGCTGATAAGTATGCGTTTGCGGAAGCCATTGAAGACGACTTCCCTGTGCTATGGAACAAAGAAATTGGTAGAGAACGCGCACCGTGTTGTTTACTACGTTCGTCGGTTTTCTAACCTTGCCTTTTACTTTTGCAGGTCGTCATCCGAATACGATCGCGTACCCGGAAAATTTCTTCGAGATCGCACAAGCCATTGCAACCCAAAGTCATCTGAATTGGCCGGATCTGAGTCGTGAGTGGATTCGTCGACAACAGGCTCGCATAGAGAGAGGTAAAGGTTTCTTTTTTGTTGTCCAATTTTAGGTCCTAGCTAGTAGACTGATGGTTGTCTCTCTGCTTCCACAGTCGATTGGGAATCAAGGCAACCGTTGATAATCTCGGCACGAAAGTCTCGATTGTCTTTGTTTACCCGGAAACAACAGAAACTGCTCAAGCAAGCGAGGGAGATGTCGGGAAGACCGGATTTGAGCGCTTTGCTTAAGGGGAAACTCCAGTTGCTGAAGAAGACGACTTCTAGGGTCATTCCGACTGGTGATGACAATGCTGAAGTTGCTCCGCGACCCGATCCAAGTCAAAATGTTCAGTCTGAAGTTGATCCTCCGGCTCCTGAAGAGAAGAAGAAGAAGAAGAAAAAGAAGCGGAAGAGCCCCGTGACGAAGGAAATAGGGTCGTCGGCTGAGGTTAATCCTTCCGAAGGGCGTTCGGACAGTCTGGAAACAAGGGAGAGGGAGAAAGAGTCGCGTGACGGTTCTGCCGATGGCGATCCTAAGGAGAAAGGTTCAGAGGGAGGTCCGAAGAAAAAGAGGAGGAAGGTTGCTAAGGAGGCACCGAAATCTCTAAGTCCCAAAACTCTTTTGGCAGATATTACGGGGACGATCGACGCCGGTGGTGACGGGACTGAAGCGTGCAACCAATCGACTGAGCCTCTCCCAACCGATGTTCCTTTGAAGAGGAAGTCTCCCTCTCGGAGGAGCCTATCAGAAGGTTCGCTCGGCAAGAGACCCTGGGTCGAGTTCGCGGATCGCGTGAGCTTCTCATATGACGAGAGGACTCCTTTGATTCATAACCCGGGTCCATGCGCAGAGCTTACTCGTCAAATCCGAGGCGGTCCAGTTGATCTGCCTCCTGTTGGAAATCTCTTTTTTAAAGAAGATTACGCAGAAGCCGCTCTTCAACACAGACGGGTAAGTTTTTGATTGATGGTTGTGTTGGTGCAACAGCAGTATCTCTTTCTTCCTTAGAACTGATTTTTTTTTTGCATTTGCTCGCTTTCAGGCTGACGGAAGCATGAACGTGCTCGTTGAGAAGTACGATAGGACGTTGAAGCAAACGATGACCCTTCTTGGTAATGCGGAAGGACTTGCCCGCACGAGACTCGGCACTATCGAGCAGATGAAGGCCGACAACAAGAGGGAGAAGGAGATACTCCGTGAGAAGTTTGTAGGCTTTGAGAAAATACTCAAAGCCGATCGTGCGGCGAAGAGGCTGCTTACGCGGGAGAAGGCGAGTCTCGAGAAAGCCAATGCTGCACTGGAGCAGGAGAAGGCCGAGCTTCTAGCCGAAAGAGATGCGGTGACGCAGAAGCTGGTGGAAGAAAGGAAACGCTTACGGGAATCTCGAAGTCTGGAGGTTACGCGTGAGAGGGTGCGTGTTGAGGCGGCTATGACCGACAAGGCTAACCGTTGCATCGATCGTGTTCGGACTTACCTCGAACGTCGCAGCCTTTTCGATCAGGAGCAGAGTCTGTTAGATCAGGCTTCCGGGACAAAGAAATGTCCCGAGATGATTCAGGAAGAGAAGGTGGGTATCACGCAGGAGCTGATTGATGTCTTCGGCGCTCAAGAGATGGAGCATGAAGCCAACGTCGCCAAACTGAAAGTGACTCCTTTATCTGATGCTGATCTCGTCCTTTCGCCACTGATTCTTCCTTCCAGGTTTGTGAACGAGGAGTTTGCGGCTATGCTTGATCCGTACGGGTCGAATGATGACTTGGTTAGATCGGAGACGGCATCGCAACTTCGGACATCATGCGAGGCTCTCGGAAACGAATCAACCGGTCAGTCACAAGAGGTTCTACCCGATGTGATTC